GAAGCTCCCTCATATGGGCCTCTGTGTAATGAATGGAGGCAGTGCTGGGCTTCAACCCGTGGACTTTTGTTTCCGCCCCCGGAGCCTCCAGTCTGTTGAATGTGCTTATTTTAAGCGATCCATAAAGGGTGCTATTCTGCTCGAGAGTCATGCATTTATATTGTATGTATTAGAAAGGATAGCTTCATGTGACCAAAGGGAGACATTTATCTTGTGACAAAAAAGACTGGAATTGGGAAACGCTATTCTGGAAATTGAATATAAAAACATGGGGCTGGGTCCAGAGCAATGGGGAGCCCTTTCTTGGTGAGGGCTGAAACCCAGCTGTGGGCTCTGCTAACAGAAATAAAGATAAGCAAGAAGTGCATTTGTGGATCTATTAAAGAGCACTAGTGGGGTATAATAGTTAGGGTTGCACTAAGAATGGGCTCTGATTCTAGGCCACCCTTGGCCAGGGAACCTGAGTGGTTGACTCTAAGCATTCTCAACCCACCTCCAAGGTTTGTTATTATAGAGCAGAGGTGTCAAACTCAAGGCTTGCGAACCACATCTGGCCTGCAGTGCAGGGGTGGGTTTCAACCGGTTCGCGGCGGTCCCCGCGAACCGGTTGGTCGGCGAACCCGGAAGTAAATAACTTCCGGGAACGGCGAAGGGCCCACCCGCCCGCCCGCGTTCCTTACCCGGTTTTGACGAGTTCTGTGCTTCCACGCATGTGCAGGACGCATACAGNTGTTGTTATTATCATCACCAACAATTAGGTTTCTGCTTTTGGGAAGTAAGAACTTCAAATAAAAACATTATTGTAATCAAAGGGCAGTAAAGAACATTTCAAAAGGAACAAAGAAGAAAAAAGAAATTATGTACAGCTGTAAATTATTTTTCTAAAAAAACCAATATACTATTTCTGTGAATATAGAAAGGATTTAATGAAGATCTGAGTGCCAAAACCAGTCACTTTTTGCTCTCTATTGATTTTCCATACAAATAGATAAGATAAATTCTCTTTATCCCATTAGGTCTGATGGGAGATGCATGTTCTGGGTCCTCTCATCCAGTGGTGGGATACGACTGGTATGCCCCGGTATGGGCGTACCGGTGCCTGCTGGGAGCACAAGGTACCATTCTGGTACGGTGCTCTGGAGAGCCACCCTCCCGCTCTCCTTACCTGTATTTGAGCTGATTGGGGCTTTCGCGCACGGAGCATATGGCGCCTGTGCGATGCTCTGCCGAGCAGCTGGAGCATTGCGGGCGGTAAGTACGCATGCATGTGCTGCGCGCATGCTGCGCACATGCAGGTGGGCACCGGACCCTGTTGCAGCATACCAGTTGCAATGGGATCCAGAACCCACCACTGCTCTCATCTCACAGGGCATGAGGGAGAAGGTCTTTTCTATTGTTATGCATACCCTGTGGCCTATCATCCTCTCAGAGTTCAAATTGGACTGGATCCTGTTGGCCTTTTGTAAGGCTTTGAAGATGTAGTTTTCCCATTGGGTTTGGGTTTTGTAGTAAAGCCTCTTCAGTGACTGTTTGGAATATTGTTGAGTGTTTTTGTATCTTGGCTGCTGATTGTGTTCATTTATTTTTTTACTGCTATCGTGTGAAGTGTTTTGATATTGTATTTTGTTGTTTGGGGTTTGTTTTACCTTTTGTAAGGTACCCCCTTTTGGTACTGTCCATGGGGTTTTCATGGCAAAGATACTGGAATGGGTTGTCATTTCCTTCTCCAGTGGCTCACTCACGTTGTAAGTCCCTTGGGCTGCAAGGCAACCAAACCGGTCAGTCCTAGAGGAGATCAACCCTGACGGCTCTTTAGAAGGCCAGATCCTGAAGATGAAACTCAAATACTTTGGCCACCTAATGAGAAGGAAGGACTCACTGGAGAAGAGCCTAATTCTGGGA